GTTTCCTTAACAACACCATGAATGTGTTTGTGTACTCACTGCGCACATCAGGCATGCTCCGTGTGTCATCATCACGGTGCCCTAAAGAAACAAAGGACAATAACGTGAGTCTCGTGCAAATGAGAACACAAGGGCATTCCTGCATATTTAACTCATTTATCAGGCATTTTGAACAAATGAAATATTTGAGTAATTGGTTGTTGCACATAATACCACAGCAAAACTAATAAGAACAAATATATTGAACCTACAAAATGGTAAATATAGAACATTAACAGTTTTACAGCTGTAAACTAGACATTTGACACCTTTTTCCTTGGGGTGAAAAATCTACACCTCCATTTGTGCAATCAACCAAGGTTTCTAATTTTTCTGTTTAACATGTCCTGCTGTGCAAGTCTATAAACAATATCAGCAAGTTAGACAGTGCCCCAGACACAGCATGTGACCCAGATATGGCCTCAGCACTTGGGACACAGCCTCTAGACAAAGTTCTTTGAATTCAAATGACTGATTGTCACAGATCAAGCCGGAGACAATAGGTTAGTGAATGAATGGCAGGTTTATTGACAGGTAAGGTTTAGGCAGAATGACTGAAGCCATGACTGGTGAGTATCCAATACGGATGACAGTTCAATGAGTCTTAGCTGTGTCCTGATGTATGGTTCCTTTGTAGGTGCGCGGAGGGTTCGGGATCCAGGAGCGGAGGAGAATAACGGATTTAGATCTTCGGGGAACTAGAGGTAAGGATAAACAGGTAAATAGCATATAGGGAGTCTGGTAGGGTTCAGAGTAGTGAACGGTAGACCGGACGATGAGTGACTGTGAGGAGCATGTTCATGAAGGTGGCTTGATTGGAGACGGCAGGTGCAGGTGATCAGAATACAGGTGAGTGTGATTTGGTGTGAGTGGTGATCATGACTGAAAACAGGTGTAAGCCGGGGAGGATTCTGGGACATGGAGTCCAGAGCTGGTGACTGGTGACAGAGACTCCCTGACATTACCTCCCCCTCCAGAAAGGCACGTCCCGCGCCGTAACATATCCACCAGGGAGGGGGGTGGTGCCCCGGAGGCTGGTGCAGGACTGGAACTGGGCCGAGACAAGGAGAGCCTCCAGGGTCGATCAGGGGGTTCAGGGGGCCATGGTGGAGCAGGCAGTTCAGGGGGCCATGGTGAAGCAGGCAGACCAGGAAGCCATAGCAGATCAGGCAGACTAGGAAGCCATGGCGGATCAGGCAGACTAGGAAGCCATGGCAGA